TTTAATTCAGCAAACATTTATTAAACACTTTTTTGTTCCAGGCAGTGTATGTGAAGAAGACCAAGAGGTCATCCAAGCCCTAAAGTAGTTCACAATCTGGTAACAGAATTGACAAATAAATGCCAGAATAAAGTGCAAAAAAAAGTGGAGTAAAAAGGAGAAAGGGGGGCCGGCCCGTGGCTCACTCGGGAGAGTGCGGTGCTGATAACACCAAGGCCCCGGGTTCGGATCCTACATAGGGATGGCCGGTTCGCTCACTGGCTGAGCGTGGTGCTGACAACACAAAGCCAAGGGTTAAGATCCCCTTACCGGTCATCTTTTTAAAAAAAAAAAAAGAGAGAAAGGGAGGATGGGACAAGACGTCATAGAGCAAGTGACATCATAGTGGAATCTTAAAAGACAAGTGACATCTTCACTGAATTGGGGGTCGAGGGCGGGATGGCTAACCCAGATGACAGAAAGAATAATCTAAGACCTGGATGAACCAGAGGACCCCAGTGGAATGTCACCTAATTAATATGGGCTTCCTGCCTGCAGTGTGTGAGAGTCACCGAGGGAGGGAGGATGGGAGGGAGTGGATGACAGAGTGGCTTAAACTCATCCTAGCTCTCACCAATCCATGTCCCCTTTTCTCTCAGACCTGACTTCTGGCAACTGTCCTGCAGAAGTTGTTTTTACAAATTGATTCATGCTAAAGCGACAGGACAGAGAAAATCTTAACTCATTACTTTTCCTGTATATATTTAAATTTTAAAGGAAAAGCTGTAAGAACACAATGATTACCTAATGGAATTACTCCTTTACAGTGGAGGGGTTTTTTTGGCTGCTGGCCAGTAAGGGGATCTGAATCCTTGACCTTGATGTAACAACACTGTGCTCTAACAAGAGTTAACCAGCCAGCTCTATGGTGGAGTTTTATACCTTGAGCAAGGAGCCTGTAAGGAACCTGCGTTTGAATGAGGACCCTGCTGGAGCATGTGCTGTCACATGGGTGAAGTGTGAGCCCCCACGAGGGTCTCTGTCTAGGGGTGTGTATTTGGGGGGGCAGGGAAGGGAGGCTGTTGATGGAGGTTTAGGAGGGAGTGATACCAGGGGCCCTGCTCTCATTTAACTCCCAAGTCCCAAACCTCCTTCCCTTCCCGCCTTCCTCTCTCCCCACTCCGACCATTCTGCCTGTAACTGTTTCCCCCTCTCTTTGCTACTTGAACAAGAGGTTATCTGCAGCGGTTCCACTCCAAAAAAGAATGATGTCTACCATTGTGGGAGCATCCTGTCCAGAACCGGCCTCCCCTGGCCTCCAGGGAACTTTGTATCAGGCTATTTTGGAGGGTTCAGCTCTTATCTTATTCTCGGGGCACGTGCATGTGCTGCTGTATCTGGGACCTCACGGGCAGCCTGTAGGGCGTGTGCTAACTGCGACCATTGTCCTGTGCAGAGCTTCATTTCCTCTACTGAAGGATGGCAGCTGCTGCACCCTGTTCACACCAACCCAGGAGAGATTTTTTCCAACACGAGGCCTGCATCGAATCACCAGAGGAATCTTGTTAAACATGCAGCTTCCCCGGCCCAGTCCCCAGGATTCTCATTTAGCTGCCAGCTGAATGCCCTGGGAACCTGCATGTTTGACAAGCTCTTGGGGGACTCTGATGCTCAGCAAGGTTGAGAACAGCAGTGTCCCCACGGCCTGGCGCCACCCCTGGCACGTGGGAGCCCCTCAAGAGATGTTTCCTTCATTCAATTCATTCAACAGGTATCCTTTGGACACCCACTGTTCTAGGCATCGAGGAACGGCAGTGAGCAAAACAAAGATCTCATGGAGCTTCTGTTCCAGCGATGGTGGTAAACAAATTTGTGCCTATGGTGGGTGGTGATGATGCTCAGAAGAAAAATAGAGCAGGACAGGAGCTAGCGACTGTGGAGGGAGTTGAGGTGATGACCTGATGAGGGGGCATTTGAGCAGAGACTGGGAGGATGGTGGAAGGGAGCCATGTGGATATCAGGGGGAGGGTATTCCAGAAAGACAGGAGAGACGCACCAGGGACTTGAGCTCGGTGTGGGCTGGATAGGTTTGTTGAATGGATAAATTCCGGAGAGTTTTGGGGTGTGGTTTTGACAGGCAGCCACTGAGAAAGTTCCTCTTTTTAATTTTCAGTGTAGCATCAGTCATTTTAATAGGGGACCAGACTGTGGACCAATCAGAACGGGTGACCTGCTTTCTCACAGGTCTGGCTGGGCTCAGGGACCTCGTCGCTGGGAATAGAAACGGCTCCTTGCTGCAGGCGCTGTCTTCGCTGTATGAGTTGCTAGTGCTGCCATAACAACAAAGAAATTTCTTGTCTCACAGTTCTGGAGGTCAGAAGTCTGAGATCAAGGCGTCTTCAGGGTTGGTTCCTTCTGGGGGCTGTGAGGGAGGATCTTTTCCGCACTTCTCTCCTAGTGTTTACTGGCAAGCCTTGGAATTCCTTGGTGTGTAGAAGCATCACTCCAATCTTGCCTTCACGGCATTTTCCCTGTGTGCATGTCTGTGTCCAAATTTCTCTTTTTAACAAGAACACCAGTCATAATGGGTTAGAGACCCACTCAACTCCAGTATGACCTCGTCTTAATGAATTACATCGGCAACAACCCGATTTCCAATTACATTCACATTCTATACTGGTACTGGTGATGAGGACTTCAACATATGAATTTTTTGGGGGGGACACAATTCAGCCCATAATGAGCTCTAAGGTCCCTTTTGAGAGCGTGAGGAGAATGTGAAGGGAAAGGACATTCTTTTTACCTTTGAACTTACATGATCAAGGTCACTGTTCCATGTTATGTACAGATGTTCTGTTTATCTGCCATCTGATACCACACAGGTGCCTTGGTGACATGGCAGTTCTCCACTTTGGTGAACATCTCTGTCCCCTGGGAGCTGGTCACAAATGCCCATTCCCAGGACCCTCCTGACCTGCTGAAAGAGAGCCCAGGCATCAGCATGTTTAACAACATTTCTCCAGACGATTCTGAAGCAGGTGGCCCCAGGCCATATGCTGGGAACCCCTTCTAGGGAGATAGCAGTCATCACTAGAATGACCATATTCATGCTAAATGCTCAGGTGATTCTTCTGCGAGGAGAAGCTGAGGTCTGAGGGGAAGGAGAGGTGAAAAGACTCCTGTGCTGATGTTTGCTGAAAGCACCCTCTGACAACAGAAATCACAGGAAGAGATGATTCAGCTGGAGCTCAGCTTGCAAGTTTTTCTTTCCATGTTCCATTTTGCACTAGGATTTCCTGTTCCTGAAAGTGACTTGTGGGGCTGGCCCGTGGCTTACTTGGGAGAGTGTGGTGCTGATAACACCAAGGTCATGGGTTCGGATCCTATATAGGGATGGCCGGTTCGCTCACTGGCTGAGCGTGGTGCTGACAACAACAAGCCAAGGGTTAAGATCCCCTTACTGGTCATCTTTAAAAAAAAAAAAGAAAGTGACTTGTAAGCTCAGGTTTCTTCTAGTCACTCCCTGTCCCCCCCGTACCCACATTTGGTAATTTAATCCCTCTGAAATGAATTGGCGTCAGGCTCCAGTGACTAATCCATCCCAATTTCAGGAAGGATGGGGATAGGGGATAATTTCCTCCTAAGTCGTTTATGTGCAGCCGACTTCTCTCAAGGCTGTGCCTGTCTTGGCAAATCATTGTGAGACAACGTGAAAGAAATCCTGGAAGCATATGGAGTGCCAAGGGGTTATTAAATTCTGGCCCTTGGCTCCCCAAGAAAACGTTAATGTCTAAAGCAAGACAAACTTGTCAACAAAATCCAGGAGTGTTCCTCTTGGTCTGAAAACTTAAGAGCGATTGTGGGAAAGCATCCAGGGGACAGTAGCAGAGGATCAGATAATGTGAGACTATTCTGCAAAGGAAAGGTTTAGAAGAACCACTGCCCCTGCCCCACCACTGGCTTCTTCAGCTGGGCACAGAAGGAGCCAGAGATGTTTTAATTCAGATTCTCAAATATGACTAAGTCACATCAGGTGCTCAGTTGCTATTTTCTACCTTGAGGCAGAGAAAAAAAATGCATAGAGCCTTCTAGCCCAAGGACTGAGTTATTAGCTGGTTTTTCTACCCTGGGGTCCATTTTTTTAATTCTTATTTTTTGGCATCTGGCTGGTACAGGGATTGAACCCTGGACCTTGGTGTTATCAGCACCACGCTCTAACCAACTGACTTAACTGGCCAGCCCCTGAAGTCTAATTTTGACACTGTTTGCACGCAGCTTGTCATCAACACCACAGACAGCACCTGAACCTGTAATAAGGCTCCAGAAGGTTTTTTCTCAAATGCTAAATTAGTGTCAGAGCTCTGGATAACATGTTTTGATATAGTCACACTTTGAACACGAGGGAAGAGCTGTGAGCTGTGAATGAGACAGCTGCTTCCTGCCACTTCAGGACAAGCCCCAATTAATGTGACATTATCACCTTGTGGCAGCAGGTTACACTTGCCCAGCACTTAATATGTGACAGGCACAGATCTTAGCACTCTGCAAACGTAATTCTCACAGCAATTGAGGTAGGTGCTATTATTATGCCCATTTTACTGATGAGGAAACTGAGTCCCAGAGAAGTGAGTGATTTTGCTCAGGACACAGAGAGATGGGATTTGAATTCAGGCAGCCTGGACACAGAACCACACCGCTAACCATTACGTTACACTACCTTTTGTAAAATGACATGACCTTGCCATGATGGGACATAATCATATTGTAGAGTTCTTTGCACAGGGTATAAAAATTAGAATGTGTTGCCGTTCATGGTCCTCGCTTATGATTTGAATTGTTCTTTTCGGAGACCCTCACCTTCACTGGGACAGATGCAGTAGTTCACATCTGAACAAATATCCTTCAAGACTCCGGTTTATGAGTTTCTTTAGAATTTGTGTTGAGTGGAATCAGAGACTCGAAATGGACCTGGAAGTTGTCCAAGGTTGTCCTTAGGGCTGAGAAACAAGACTCAGTTCCTGATCAATTGCACTTTAAATTTTATTCAGCTGCTTGCACCCTGGGGCCCTCCCAAGCACCCAGCTCCCCTACCCCGCGTGCTCAGGCCTTCCAAACAACCTCTTTCTTCAGTGGCCTCCTTCCCAGTATGTGACCCAGGGCCCCCAGGACTTAAAGAAGGACTAAAGGGTCTGTTTATCTTCCAGGTGGCAGGTGCGGAAACCTTCGTCTCAGTGGCCGCCTGGGGGTGACAGTGTGGACTGATGTGGCGGGTATTCTGCCAGGATGTAGAGGAATCCACCCAGGGCTGCGACCGCGGTGGCTGTGTTGTGGGAGGAGCAGCCATCTGGGGGGAGACAGAGCCCCCCGGTCAGAGCTGGGTGACAGCAACCTTGGCTTTTTATTCAGCACAGTCCCATTGTAAGTCCTTTTCAGATATCACCCCAGCCAATCTGCAAGGCACTGTGTGGGTGCTTTGGTGCCCAGCTCAGAACCCCGTTGCTGGGCTGGGTACCTGTCTACCAGCTGCTGCAAGTGTTGGCTGCTAACAGCTTCCTGCTCCAGTGTTGGAGCCGCCACATCTATGAGGTGTGCCCCCTCCCAAATGACTTGCTAAGACAGGGACACCAAAGCCCAGCGGCCTTGTCTCGGGGGTGACTCTGTGGTGCCATTTAGGCTCCAAACTGTCCTCCTCCCAGCCCTGCTGTGGCATCTGAGCTGAGGCTTCCCTTGTCTAGCTCCTCCCACCTACCTTAACCTCCTACCCTCCCTTCCTTACCTCAGTAAACCGCATGCACCCTAATCCTGTCTCAGGCCCTGCATGAGACCTTCTAAGATGGGGAAACTGAGGCTCGGGTAGCAGAGCTGAGCTCCCCGGTCCTGGTGACTCCAGAGCTCATTTCTTGGATTCAGATGCTCAAGCCTTGGCACGTGCCTGCGACAGTGAGCCCTTAGATGTATTTGTTCTCTGAACTCAAAGTGCGCTACCTGCCCTGAGTCACACGACATATCTGCTCAGGTGGGAGGGAGCCAGGGCTGTTTTCCTCTCTACTCAAAGACCTTGAGAAGGGATGGACCCCAGCCAGGTCCTTTGGAGGGAGGGGGAATGCAGATATCAAGAGGCTGAATTACTAACCCCAACAGTTCACGCCTATCGGTGTCCTACCAGATGCTGGGGGAGTGATTTGCACGATGATCAAATATTTTTTGTTGGTGGTGTTTTTTGGTGGCTGGCCAGTATAGGGATGTGAACCCTGGACCTTGGTGTTATCAGCACCTCACTCTGCTGAGCGAGCTAACCGGCCAGCCCAGTTATTTAATTTTTATTAATAAAAAATTGAAACAGAAGTCCTCTCTCCCTTTTTTATCCGTCCCTTCCTGCTTTCCTCTCTCCCCTTCTTCTATTCCCAGTTATTTCTTCCCTTTCCAACATAGTTATATCCTGTGCTCAGTTTCTCTGCATTGGTGGGCTGACCATACAGGTTATCATCACAACAAGGACAGATTGGGGATGACAGGGGGCACCACTCTCAATAGCTGCAGGACAACAGGTGTAACTGGGGAGCCCTGGGAACACCAAGCCATGTGGCCCCCAGGACTGTTCTGGTCACTTGCCCATCAGCTCTGAGTCCCTTCCCTGCCTTTCCTGGCTCCAAACCTCAGTACATGGACCCCTCCAAACTATGTTTCCCAGGCCGCCCTGCCCACTGGCTTCTGGTCAGGTTTGACCCACAGGAGGTGTAGGCAGAACAGGGAGAGAAATCAGGGTATTTCTGTGTCCTCCACATCCAGTCCCTGCAGGTTCTACTACCTCCTGCCACCATCCCTCCAGCTCTAGGAAGGGTAGTGGCTTGCTGCAATGGTTAATCTCTGGGTTTTCCCACTTTTTCTGTTTTCAGCCCTTCCAACACCTTTGAGAAAAGTGCCTGTATTAAATTCCCTCTGTTGAAGTTCCCAATGCAGATTCTATTTTCCTGGTCAGACCTTAGCTGAGGAGGGTTATCTTTGTGACTTTCAACAACACACTGAAACTTCTTTTTTATGTTCCTTTAACCAGAGACAAGATCTCTGCACTCCCCGCTTTCTTTCTTTCTTTCTTTCTTTTTTTAAAAGATGACCGGTAAGGGGATCTTAACCCTTGGCTTGGTGTTGTCAGCACCACGCTCACCCAGTGAGCGAACTGGCTATCCCTATATGGGATCCGAACCCGGGGCCTTGGTGTTATCAGCACCGCACTCTGCCGAGTGAGCCACGGGCCGGCCCATGGACTCCCCGCTTTCTAAGAGGTTATCAGAGATGCCTACCCTTCCTTCCACCTCCCAAAAGTCAAGGTCCTCTGACCCGTGCCCCTTTGGTGATGCCTTTTTCCCACCGAGGGCAACCTGCGGAAACCTGCCCTTAACATCAATGCATCGTTTCCCCACCTGGCCTAGAAACCCAGTCCCCCCTTTGTCCTCCTGTTACCCATTTCATGCCAAGAAGGTTCCTCAGGCATTTTCATTACCTGTAAATTGTTTTTCTCGCCTCTTTACTCTTCTCAAAAAATGCTGTTGGTGTTGAGTGGCTTTAGATACTTCGTCTTCAGCAGCTGGGAGGAGAGTGAAAGGTGAACTTCTCAAGATGAATGTTTAAATGTTACTCACTAATCCTCCCCCTCATGACACCTCAAGCCCCTTGGGTCTTCTCTTGAACCCTGAGGCTGTTCCTCCCACACCTGTCTGCAGATCCTTCCACAAGGCCTAAACGAGTCATCTACAAATGGCTCCTTAAATTGTGGTCCCCCAACCACAAGCATCAGAACTACCAGAGGCGCTTGTTAAAAATGGAAGTTCTTGGGCTGGCCTGTTAGCTTGCTCAGTAGAGTGAGGTGCTGATAACACCAAGGTCCAGGGTTCAGATCCCTTTACTGGGTAGCCACCAAAATCAAAAAAAAAAGAAAAAAAAATTTTCACAGCTGCACCCCCAACCTGCTGATTATAGGTCTGGTGACCCGAGAATCTTCATTTTGTAAACTCTATTTTAAAAACAGACTATCTTATTTCTAAAGCTTTTGCATCTTTGAGCACCCCAAGCTCAAACATCAATGCATCGTTTCCCCACCTGGCCTAGAAACCCAGTCCCCCCTTTGTCCTCCTGCTCCCAGCTGGGGTGGAAGTGCAGCTCACCTGGCCTCCCGAAGCATCCTTGTGGCATCTGCCAGCTAAGAATGGCCTCCAGCCACCGGAGCTTGTAGAAGTCGGAAAAGCCACCCATTCCACATAACATGACTGGAAGCAAAGACAGGGGGTGCTCTGGAGGCTTGCTCCCAGGCCCACCTCCTCCCACTCCCCAAGGCCACTGTGGTGCCACCTGCCTCCTCCCACACCAAGGGGTGGGTGTTTAACGCAGAGGCTGAGGCTCTACCTTAGTGACTGGGGACTCCCAGGCCTGTGTCATGCCTCCCACTTAGGGCCTCAGTATGGGCTGCTCGGGATGTGGACACCAGAGCGAAGGAGCAGCCACCCAAGGGCTCCCTTTCTGCCTGATTGTCTCTAAGGCTTTGAAGGTCCATTTGCCAGTCAGCTAGTCAGTCTGTCTGTCCAGAGCTTTGTCATTGGGTCAGCCTTTGGGGATAGAAAGCTGTCACATAGTGGCAGGCAAAATATGGGATGCCCAGTTACATTTGAGTTTCCAATAAACAATGAATACAATTTTTTAGTATAAGTATATTCCATGCAATATTTGGGATATACTTACACTAAAAATTTTCATTTCAAAATATTCACTGTTTTTCTGAAGTTCAAGTTTAACAGAGCACCCTGTATTTTTATTTGTTTAATATGGTAATCCTACTATGGTGTGCGTGTGTGTGTATGTCCCAATCACAGACACCGTGCTGCTTTGTCCCAAGGGCAGAATGCCAGGCGCACTGTTTTCCATGAAGATGTCGCGGGTGGGGTAGGCATATACGATGGCCTCAGCTCGCCGGTTCAGGTCCATCATGTTAGCGCAGAAGAGGTTGATGTAGTGTTGGCTCTGGCGGAATGGTCCCTTTGTGCATCCTTTCTGGGGGGACAAACACCCAGAGACAAGGCAGTCAGATGGGCAGATGACATGCGCGGGCTCTGTTATAGGAAAGACTTGCGGTTCTGAGATGGTCTTGCAGGGGGCTGCATTTGGGGCAGGTCTTTCCTTCTTTCTGCCACCCACACTCCCAGCCTGCTTGCGGCTACATTGCTGGGGGTCAGAGAGAGCTGGGTTCAAGCCCCTGCTCTGCCACTTAGGAGATGCTTGACCTTGGCCTGCTAAATTAACCTTTCTGGGCCTCAACAGTCTTCACTGGGAATGGGGGAGGCACTAGGAGCCGCACTAGAGGGGCTCTCCTGTGGTTGGATGAGACAGCTGGGAAGTGCCTAGCACGATGCCCGACACTAGGAGGCGCTCTACACCTGCTCACCTTGGCCATTGCACTGGTGGCCTCAGTGCTACTCAAAGTGTGGGCGGCGGACTGAGCTGGGAGAGAAGATCAGAAGCCAAGAACAAGCTTTAGAAACTTCTGTAGATGGGCCGGCCCGTGGCTCACTCGGGAGAGTGCGGTGCTGATAACACCAAGGCCCCGGGTTCGGATCCCATATAGGGATGGCCGGTTCGCTCACTGGCTGAGCGTGGTGCTGACAACACCAAGTCAAGGGTTAAGATCCCCTTACCGGTCATCTTTTTTTTAAAAAAAAGAAACTTCCGTAGCAATGGCCAGAGTAACTTTCTACCCATTGAATCTAAAAATTATTTTTCTCATAGTTTGGTTTTTATTGTATTTACTTTTGTAAATATATATTCTGTAAACATACATTAGTCTGTCACAACTTGCATAGAAATAATAATAATAAAAAAAATTTTGTCAAGCAAAAACAGTAGGTCCCTTCTTTGCTAAGAATTTCTGGTCATCGAACAACATTTTTTGAATAGAGATCATGAGCCTTACCTGTCTGTATAGAGAAATATATATTTAAAAAAAATTTTAGTATTGGGCTGAGAACAGCATTGGGTGCTGGAAAGGTGGGAGTGGGGTGGGGCTGGTGTCCCTCCCCTCAGGCTTTAGTCCCCAGAACCCCAAGACAGACCCTCAGCCCAGACTTGATCCAAAACATATCTTCCCCAGCTCCACAGGCCACAGCGGGGCGCTGTTCACCCAGGTCCTCTGAGACATTAGGAAAGTCAGGTGCGGGTGTGCATGGAGTCTTCCTTTCTTAAAGTCTCGGGGTTCACACCTTTAAAACCCACTCCATGATTTCCCCCAACAAGTTCAATTTTATTTTTAAAAATGAAGCTAAAAGAAACAAGCAAATATGAAGCCTAGCCTCCTTGATATTTTAACATAGTTGTTCCTTTGCATCATTTTAACAGAAATTGTCTATAAATTCCAGAGGGGGAAATATCAAACAAACAGCAAGGATACCTTTGTGCTCTCTCTTCTTTCCTTCTCTCAAAATCTTCTTTCCTTCTCCCAGATCACTTTTTTTATTTTTATTTTTTAAAGATGACCGGGAAGGGGATCTCAACCCTTGACTTGGTGTTGTCAGCACCAGGCTCTCCGAACTGAGCTAACCAGCCATCCCTATATATAGGATCCGAACCCGTGGCCTTGGCGTTATCAGTACCACACTCTCCCAAGTGAGCCACGGGCCGGCCCCTCCAGATCACTTTCTTCTGGGTAGCTACAGCTAAGGATAACACGCTGCCCACCACCAGGCTTGGTTTGATCTCCTGCAAGTGGCTTTCTGCCGACTTTGTTGCAAGTTCTTTTCCATTCATTTGATGTTGTTTACTGAGTTCTTTCTGTGGCTTCTCTCTTATTCCTTCTCTCTCTCTCTCCTTTTTGTTTTCCTGATGCCCTACGATCCAGTTCAGCATGCAAAGCTATCTTTTGTTGCCAGTCCAACAGAATCCCAAAGCCCAAATATCCCCCCTCCGTTGCTGTACAGTTGTCCCCCCTTATCCGCTGGGGATACATTCCAAGACCCCTAGTAGACGCCTGACACCACAGATAGTATTGAACCTATATATACTATGTTTTTTCCTATACATACCTATGATAAGGTTTAATTTATAAATTAGGCATAGTAAGAGATTAACAACAACTAAAAATAAAATAGAACAACTATAACAATATACTGTAATAAAAATTATGTGCATTTGGTCTCTCTCAAAATATCTTACTGTACTGTACTCACCTATCTTTGGACCATGGTTGACTGTGGGTAATTGAAACTGCGGATAAAGGGGAACTACTGGATAATCATCTCAATTATATGGCAGAAGGATGGCAGGATTCTCTCACTTCTGATGTCTGAAGCACAAATCCAAACAGCCGCTTATATTCCTGGTGTGTAGCAGACAAAACTACACCTCCACAAGCCCCTCTGAATTTTTCCTTGTCCTTTGCCAGTGAGGCAGGGCCATCCAGCTCACTCACCATTCTGGCCAAGAGGAAGAAGAGCAGCTGGTGGGATAGGTAGTAGCCTGAGCAGCCGGGCTTGGTCATGAAGGTCCTGCAGAAGTCTGAGAGTCCGCAGGGCTGGCTGCTGTCTGCCCTGGGAGAAAAGCCGTCCTCTAAGGAGGGTGCCCGGTCCCCAGCCTGCATCTCCCTGGGTTGCGATCCCCCACTGGTTATTATAAACCCCAGTAGGTTCCAGGCACCCAGCTGGGCACAGGGATTGCCAGATAAGATATGGGTGTCTAGTGTCTTGATTTGCTAAATCTGGCACCCTTAGTATGGGGGGATGACGCTGGAGCTATCCTGGGCTTGCGGAAGCCACCAAGGCCTGAGACTTCCCATTGCTCTGTGGGGGCCCCAAATACATCTTTCTCAGCACCGCCCTAAACAGCAATACTTGAACCCAGACAGCTTGGCCTCTGGGCCCAACATATTATTCCCCCTGTGCCCATAAAAAAGGAGGGCAACACAGGGCGGGTGCCTGACTGGAGCCCAGCTGTGCCCTGGCCTTCTACTCTGCAGAGGATGCTGAGAGGATGGGCCGTGGGCACCTGTCACCCATTGTGCCCACCCCCTGCACTCAGCGCTTCCCTGGGGCAATGTTCCAAGCCCACCCAGAAGCAGGGCTTTTGGTGAGCAAAACTGCCTTCCTGGACTACAGCCCCGTCCGGGAGACAGGACCTTAAAACAAGTGTAGATTTCATCTGCGGCTACTGGAAGCACTAGGAGAGCCCACTGCAGGAGGCCTGCTGTGTGCGGTGGCCTCGGATGTTTCTGGAGGCAGGATGCTGGAGCCTGCCCTGAGGCTGAGCGATTACTTAGGCAGAGGGAGTGGGGGTGCTGGGGGGAGCAGAGCAAAGACTTTGCAGTGGGAGGGGGCCAGTGCCTTTGAGAGCCTGAAGAGGCCCCAGGGGCTGGATCAGAGGGGCCTGGGGACCTGGAAGGGCAGCCAAGAGGGGTGGGCTTTGTCCTAGGTACAATGTGAAGAGGCTTTGCCCCAGGGGTGGGGGAGGTTGGTGCTGGTGGCTCTCTGGGGAGCTGTGCCTGGTTTTGCACAAACCATTGGGTTCAGCCTCAGGGGCTTGGAGAACGAGTGAGCAGGAGGGAGGGCTGGCAGCATGGGGGGGAAGTCGAGGGGGCCCACCCGGTTCCCAGCAGTTGCACCAGGCACGCGTCGCTGCTTTCCTCCGAGAAGGAGTCCTGTGGCTCCACTGTGGGGTAGACCAGGGAAGCGTTGGTGTGAGCCCAGACGTGTGGGAGCTTCCAAAACCCGGGCTGGACGGTCGGCTGGAACTCTGGCAGAGAAGGAGGTGGGGTGGGCCGTGACCCAGGAGCCGTGGGCTACCCCCTGCTTACTCCTTGCTCCCCCAACCTGGCTCCTGTGACTCCGAGCCAAGGAACTGGGTGTCCCCTCCCCAACACCCACCCTGCTCCCTGCCTGGGCAGCGCTGACCATGTGCAGGTGCTGGCTCAGAGCTTCAAGCCTCGCCTGCTGGTTGAGCACTGAATTTGAAGCACACAAGAAGCTCCTTTTCTTAAAAAAAACCATTTTTTTCCCCTAATCCATAGGAACAGTGTTGGGACAGGCTTTGATTAAATCCACTGCATCCCATGAAGCTTGAGACATCCAAAAAGGGTTAGTAGACTCCTCTGGTTTGGTTAGAAAGTGGAGTAGCTGCCTGGCAAGGGGCTTCTTTAAGATGGCACAGGGTGGGATGGCATAAGGGACAAGGCCTGGGAGAGGGTGGGGGACATCGACTGCAGGCAGGTCAGCCTGTGCTAGGAAGGGCTGGGGTGTGTTCACCTGCAGCTGGGCTGTTGTTCAAGCACGAAGTGTGGACTGGCTAATGTTCTCCCTGTTTTCCCCCGCATCTGATGTGAGCCAGGAGCCCAGGGGAGGGGGTTGGATTGTATGAGGGGCTTCCCCTCCCCCCACCAAGAACAACTCAGGCCAGGCTTATAGGATGTGGCCTTGTAGGGTCACTCAAGGCTGGTGAGGAGAGAGAGACTCGTAGCATTATAAGACTCAATAGGGATGCGAGTAAGACACTAACGTTTGCTGTGCAAAAGGTCCAATTGCTTTTTAGATATCCCACCCTCTGGGCCAGACCAGACAAGACCCTCTCCACTGGTCTAGGATGAAGGCTCCTGAGATTGGGCGTGAGCTGAACTGATGAGTGGAGATACGCTGCCTACTTCTCACCCCCCCCCCCCCCCCCCCCGGGGGGGGGGGGGGGGGGG